AAATTACCACAGAAATACAGGAAGAGGAAAGAGATGGACACTTTCAGTGCACACTTGTAACAAAACTATGTTTGTTTGTTTGTTTACTTAAAATATATATACCTGCTTATTTGACAAATTTCTGGGACACCCAACTGCAATAATTCTGGCAGCTTAAGAGATAAAACAGCAAAAAAGAAATAAAACCCCAAACACAGTCTCATCCAGCGGGATCAACAGCTATGTTTATATATTTGTAACCACTGATTATGATTTAAAAAGTAGGAGGGACACTATTTCCCAAACAGAAAAGTTTAAATTCTGATGGCCAGGAACAGTCAATTGTAATGTTCAAAATATAGTGAGCAAGTTTATACACTGCACTAACCCCACTCAAATTAGGGAAAGTTGGCTTAGCATGATCTATAAAAACAAGTTGCATCAGACACAGTTATACTTAGAATATCTGCACTGAAAATCAATGGATCCTAAATTATATATATTACATAAAAAATGCAATGAACAACATTGCATCAACTCTGTAGTCACTTCTGTAAATTTTCCAACGTTACCAGAATATACTGAAACAGGTTGTTACAGTAAGTGGTGAATGGAATATGTGTGTGTTTGTAAGACTTTGTATCTAATAACAGATTCTGTGATAACACTAGAAAGTCAAATAAATAAATGTTGAATTCCAGGGGGCAGTGGCCTTGAGAAAATGAATTAAAGAAACTGCAGGCTTTAATGGAAAAATACTAGTTCCATTAGTGCTAAAGTAAAAGAGAACAGAGAGAAGTATAATATAAAAGACTGTGCTAATAAATGATTCAGACAAAGATAATACATGACAGAAAGCAGCAGGTAAGGATAATTTAAATCAACCTTCTTTTAAATCCACCTTTTAGAAATAGAGGAAAAATATAATTAGTAAGTTTTTAATGTTACTTCTATCCAAAGAACCATCTGACTCTAACATGTAATATTGACTGATTATGTGCCATCAAGTTGGTGTCTATCCTTAGTAGCTACATGCATAGACCTCCTCCTGGATAATCTGTCCGTACCCTAGCCTGGTCTTCCAAAGGTCTACCCATCACCGCTGTAATCAAGTTCATCCACCTTACTATTGGTTGTCCTCTTCTTCTCCTGCCTTCCACCTTTCCCAGAATTATAGACTTCTCAAGAGAGCAGGGCCCTTTGCATAATGTATCCAAAATAACTGGATACATGTTAATTTGAGCCTCAACTAAGAACTCTGTATTGATTTGTTCAATGATCCATTTGTTCATTTCCTTGGTTATCCAAGGTATCCTTAGGAGTCTTGTCCAGCATCAAAGTTCAAAAGCACCAATACTCTTTCTGTCTTGCTACTTCAAAGGCCAACTTTTGCTTCCATAAACTGTCACAGGGAAAACTGTTGCATAGTTCTGATATTTGTAGATACAGAGACATCACACTATCTAAATATCTTTTAAGAGGCTTTCATTGTCACCCTACAAAGTGCTAGTCTGCAGCATACTTTTCTATTACAATATTGTAATTCATTTTCAATCTTGATACATGAGCACTATTTCCTTAACGGCATTTGGATGCAACCCCATGAAGAGTAGCAAAGCATTAAGCTTTCACACAAGACCAATTCTGACATTAAAATATTTATACTTTGCTTGACTAAAAATAATTTTTGGTTCTAAAATAAAACAAACTTTTAGCATTAAAATAAATACAATAACTGTAGAAAGTCATAACCAAGAAATGGAGAGAAACCTTGTATATATATGCAAGATCAGCTGCAGCAACACTGAAAATCCTGGCTTGCAGTAATTAGTTTTGATTACCCAGAACTGGAAATAATATGTAGAGCTGAATCGTTATGGAGAAGAAGATAAGCTATCACAAGATGGATTTGGTTGTAGTTTGTATGTTCTGCAAATGCAATCACCATTACATTTAACCATGATTTATGGTTTAACAAATTGAATGAATCCATCCAGTGGTGGTTTATTCAGTGAGGTATGTTAAATAAAACATATTTAAGTATGTTGCATAGGCACCATCACAGGGATTCATCTTCCATTTTTAAAGAGAAATCAACTGCAAAATTGAATATATTTTAATTATAGAACAATAGCTTAGAATAGTTCATTAATTTTTTTAAAAATTAATTTATATCAATGAAACAGCAATCCTAAGTACACTTATTTTATATGGGAAATGCTGAACTAAGTCCATCTTGTGAGTAAATATCTACAGAAACAGAATACAGTCCATAATAATTGTACAGAAAGTTAGCTAGCCTAGGATTATATTCATTCATTCCCTCTCAAGTAATAATATACATCAAAACACTAGCATAGTTTATTTCTCTCTTGAATAGCTAAAGTTTCATAGCTCCCAAGATTGATCTTGTACATATCTTTATCAAGTTCATGAAATGGAATATTTGCACTGCATAGTCTCAGAGAAACTTCTCAACACTTTCATAGGTAAGATAGTTCCTTGATTATATCTATGAATATTGCTACAAGGCCTTAATTTATTTTACTTGCTGCAAAAAGTAGAAGAAGTTGAAACAGGTGAAAAAGAAGTCCAGTCAAAGGTGACATGGTATGATGGCCTTGCTATGCTTCAGGAGCAATGTGATTAGCAAACTACTGAATTTGGTCAAACTACTGGAAGCATTCTGTAGTTTACATCTGAAACTATCTCCAGTTGTAAAAACACTATCAAGTTGTAAAAGTGCTGAATATCTATACAAACATACCAACCATCTTAATTAACCTTTAAATATTAGCAATACAGTAGACAAAACATATGTTTCCACAGGCTTTGATACATGTGTTTTTCCAATCCCACCTGACATATTACAAATAAACCTAGGACCTTCTATATGCAAGGCATGTATTCTAACCCTAATCACAGCCTTTCTTATTTATATACTACTAAAAGTCTTGTATCTGTAACCTTCAAACTGGGTGAAATAGTGCATCATAGGGCAACAGTTTTTGAACCAAGGTACCTCAAATGGGCTAACTTACAGAATGTGTCCAAAATTCAGGACCCATTACTTCTGTGGGATTGAAATTTGGGAAATTTGTGGCCACTTCAGCACAGTCGCACTGTCACAGCCCAGGTTACGTGATCCTCATGGGCATATCCCCAACCTCTGTCCCCTGTGCCCAATCACCTGGCAGCAAGGCCTGACTGGCAAGCAGCGATCGGCTGCTTTGGAAACAAGGCAGAAATTTGAAATCTGTTAATGGTGGTGGGCATTGAGGGAAGGATGAGGAAGCGACTTGGATGCCTGCTGGTGAGGTAGGGCTGGCTGGGGGGTGCCAATGGTTGATGGATGATGCCGCTTGGGGGCACACTGGAATGGGGAGCAGGGGTGCAGTTTTCCTCATGGTTCATGGCTCCCTTTGTTCCACCTCTCCCCAGCAAAGTGGCAGGCAGTTCTGCGGGTCAGCCAAGGAGGAGGAGGCTTCACTGGGACTGTCCTGAGGGTCATGAGGAGAGAGAAAATGGTGCAAGCCTATATTATATGTAGGAAGGAAGACTTCTGATGCTCCCTGCCAGCTTCCCACAAGCAAAGTCAATGGGAAAGCCAGCAGCAGATTCACACTCCTACTGCTTTTTTGTCCTTGGTCATTCTGTTTCTCTGTTTAGGTAAGGAAATATCTCTGAAACTATAGCCCAATGGGTTTGTCTACTTCTAAAATCTGAGATGAAGTTGTCATAACAATTTTATTTTAAACTAAACTTTATTTGAATTAGTAATTCATTTATAATTCTGATTAAAATTTTCCATCAGAGATCTTCATTAAGCCTCTGGGAATTGCAGTCCATCTACTGCAATGAGACTTTTTGACTTGTGGAGACATGTTGCTTTGTCTCAACTCAGGGAAGTATTATGTGGAGGAGAATTGTTCCACTTCTATAAAGCATCAAAGGAAGGTCAATCTGCATGAATCAGTTACTTTGCTTTGACAGAACTGGCTTCTGCACTAAGCACTACAGCTATTGTAGCAACTTGGAGAAGGATGCTTCATGCTTCAGAGAAACACTTCAGATGGTCCTTCATTCCAGTTCTATGTTTTATTATTTTATCTCCACTTCCCATGCAATCCCAATGGAAAAACTTGAAACATTTAAATAGGAAAAACAAGAAACAGAGAGTTTTTAAAATCAATGTAGGTTATATATTCTCCTTCTCTACCCAAGAGCTTTCTAGCTTTCCATAGGTGAGTACAGATAAATAACATGAGCAACTACAATCTAAGTGGTAAGAGTAGAAAAGGGAAGACTTGTTATGGTGATCAAAAACAGGAACAGGACTGGGAATGACAGGAAAATTGTGGGGGTAAAGAGATTGTCAAGTGAAGGAAGGGCAATTGAAGTGAAAAGAAATAGGTAATACAGAATTCAACAGATCATTTTCTGACAGAGAGAGATAGGTGTTGTTTACTTGAAATGGTTTGCTTCAGATACTGTGCGCAGCCTGGGTTTCAGCCACCTGAATTCCAGACTGGCTTTATGGAAACTTCACTCCTCTCCAAACTGATCAACTTCTTTTTGAAACAAGAGTGCATGTGCTTAAAAGGGTGGTTCATGGTTTTATAACTGTCATGCATAAATTAGCTTTAAACTATATTTGTTATTATTTATGTATTTCAGAAGAACAGTTGGATGCATCATCTGCTTGTCCATACAGAATTTCATAAACTACATAGCTTATGAAAGGTTTGGGCATGTTTATTTGTAGCTACAGAGAATTTTTGCTTTAGGTCTGGCAGAAGAAATAAATCAGATTTCAAATAACTAGAATTATGAATGCAAATTAAAATGATAGCTTAACAGCATCAGCAAACTATAACCAGGTGTTCTTCAGATAAAGATGCATGCATTATTTGAGAAATTTCTGAGCAATAAGCTTAACATTTTTTTAAAGTTAAAGGCAATAAAATTCTATATAATTGTAATAGAAAGAATATAAAATCAGAACCCACATGAGGATTTACCTTCCACTGCTCTCTTAAAGAAGACTTTGCAACTGCCACAGGTAACTACTCCATAATGGCATCCAGATGCTTCATCCCCACACACCAAACACACTTTAGAAGGTCTTGAGGATCCAGTTGAAACACTTCTCAATGAGGAACTAGAAAGAAAAATAACAGGAACCATCAATATAAAATGCACTTGATACAAACTCCATTTTGTCATTCAGTTTCTAATCCTGTAATTTTGGATAGTTTCCTCAAAATTAAAAAAAAAAAATTAAAGAGCTTCAGCTCTTTTAGCATTATGTGTGTAACTTGGCTGCTCTTTATACCACTTGATATATTCAATTTTGTGGCTTAAAACACCCACTAATACTCAGTGTGAGAAATTTCATCTACCAACCCTTCCATAGAATCTACGTTTATTTGTTCATATCGCCAAGGCAACTCTATCAAAAATGCATTTACTCTTTTATAGTAGGCTATCCATTAAGAAAAAAAAGACACAAAAATCAGGAAGAATATTTTTATAAAGATCAAATGAATTTAATATTCCAATGGATGCCAAGACCAGGTTTTGGCATTTATCAGAATAAAACCTCGATAAACTCAATGAAGATTATTTCTGAGTAGAACATTATAAGGATTGCTAAGTAAAACCTGTTTAAAATCTGGTGAAGAATACCCATTAGACCCAATTTAAAACCCTGTAAGTAGCACCATAACATTTGATCTACACAAACATTTGATCTTCCCCAAATATATTCTCCTTATTTTTTTCAGTTTTTCTCCATTCTCATAAGGAACTAAATGGTTGGGATTTTCATTAACAGCAATAATAGGAACTTTATTATCCCTTACCAATTTCCTGCATTCTTAGTATGTGGGGCTGAAAAATAAAAAATGCCTGGTCAAAAGTGAAATCATTATTTTAATGCCAGTGATATAACCCAATGATTCAGCACATTAAAAAAAAACTTTGTTCTAAGGGAAGGATGGATATTTATTTAAGGAGTCATGGATGAGTAAAGGTGCCATATTTATTTTTAATTTATTATTATTTTCTGGGAGCTGAAAGCCTGCACAAATAATAATTTCTTTATGATCTACCTTGGATGAGAGATAATGGCATCATGCTAAGCTGTGATTGTTTTACAAACCACAATTGGTTGGGTTCACACATAGTAAGCCATAGATATGAGTCATATATCACAATGCCTAGGTTCAAACAACGTGCAAGTTCCAACTCCATTCTGGCCTAGGACATTAGATGGCTGAAGCCACTTGCCAGCTGAAGTCATCTTGTGAACTTCTCTGTGTCCCTAATCCTAGTTTCCTATAGCTCCCACACTATACTGCCTATACAGGCCACCCTTTCTTTCATTCTCTTTTTTAATTTGAATTTTTATTAAAGATTTTAAATACAATAGTAAAACCAAATACAAATTAAAATCAGAAAAAGAGATGGAGAGAAAAAATAAAAAGGGCAAAGAAAGAAAAAGAAAAATAGAGGAAAAAAAGGAAGAAGTAGAATAAAGAAAAAGAAAAGAAATATGTAAAGGAGTTACTTCCAGTCTCCATCACATCAAGTAATAACAAATTTAATAACTCATCAATCCCTGTAAAGCTACAAACAAATATATCTTTTTCCCATACCCATCCCTTCTATAGGCAAAACCATAAATCATCAATTTTTTTGTCAGCAAAAAGTCCATAAAGGATTACCGGAGTTTTATAAAAACATGTCTTATTTTAACTTTTATCAAACAAACCAACTTCATATTCCTTTCTTTTGCTTCTAACAATCTTAATCTTTAATTCATTCAGATGCTGTCTTTCTTTTTCCTATTGCAAAGGCTTCTTCAAGGCTTTAGCAGACCTCTTTTGTAAATTCAGTGGAAAGTCATTGTTTTGGTTTGACTTTTGTATTTCCCCTTTGATTTTCAAAGTCTTAACCAGCTTCTTTTGTATATCCAGTAAAAACTCCTTATCAGGGTGGTTCTCTTGACTTTTCTATATCTTGTAATCCATACTTTTCCCTAACATCTGTATTTCCAGCTTGAATGCCTTGTCTGTTTTGTAACCCACACTTTTTTTTAATATGATATTTTTGATTCCGCTATTTCTGCATTAAGCAAAATTTGTTTCACATCTGTCATTCATTCATTAACATCTTGTAGACATAGTCTATCCATAGAAGCAGACATTGTTACTGATATTGTTGCTACTAATTTCTGGCCCCATTCTTCAAAGATCTCCTTTAATATTTCAAATATATCATTTTGTGTTATTTTGTAAATCCCAATCCTAAAGGCAAGGGTTTTTTTTTTCTTTTTGGTCTGGACTTTAGTCCCCTCTAGTGTCCAATTTAAATCATAAGGTCTCGTATCTCTGTTATGACTTGTGGTAGTCAAAATAATTTGGTTCTCACAAAAAGCTGCTTCTTTTATATGGTTAATACCAAAATCTTATGGTAAAAATTTCAATATTCCAAATTTGCCTGGACCCTTAATTCATTTATAACTTTCTTAGTTCAAAATCGTGTTTAACTTTTTGCCATTTATTTCAATTTCTTTAAGTTCTTAAAATAGTTAATTTTTCTTTTGTTCAGGAAGGAAGATACACTCACCAGGTGACTTTTCAGACTTGTCATTCCGAAGACTTCTAACAGCCTTAAGATATTTAGATAAGCAATATCCAAAAGTGATTAGAAGCAAGGTTAGCAAACTTAGTATCCTTTAAAAGAAGCCAGGTGTGGTTCTTAGCTTGATAATTAATCCTTTTGTCTCCTGGCACTCATGAGGAGTAGCTATCTGGAGCATATGTGGGTGATCTGTCCTCTCCTTATAGAGAGGTTCTGAAGAACTGGTCTACTCACTGGTTCTTCAGTCTTTGCCACAGTCATAGTCTCAGCTTTTCATTTAGCTCACCATGCCTCCACCGGAATTCTACCCTTTCTTTCATTCGCATAGAATCTGCTTCTACATTCTTGTCTAAAAGCTCAACCTTTCCAGTAATACCATTGCTACAGCTTCAACAAAAAGAGGAGTGTCCAAGCACATTTGGGACAAGCTAGTTAATTTGTTTTCCTTATTCAGGCATTCCAAAAGACCAGTAAGTGTCTTTCCCTGATTTTAACCCTGATCCTAATGACATTTTTCTTCTTTTCACAAAGAACAAGCCTAAGATTCAGTTATGGTGGGGGGGGGGGGAACAACACAGCTAACAGCAAGGATCACTGGAGGGCAGAAAAAGAAGCTGAAGTGTTTCAAGCATAGCTTTTGGGAGTGATTATGATCTGGGAGTCTTCAACTGCATTTCCCTTTTTCTAAACCCTTGGAACTTTTATCTCAGATATGAACGACTTTCACACATAGAAACATGGAAGTACATGCATGGACATATTCCTCTCTCTCCTTTCAGCAGAAGCAGCAAATGAAGAAAACAGCATAGAGAAGAACATGGTTGGAGGTGAGGGAAGACCAAATTGGGTAGAGATAAAGAAAAAAGAAATAAACAGATACAGGGAAGAAATAAAAAAGAGAAACAATTTTTAGGCCTTACAAAATGGTTTTAAATTCAGCAAGTCATTTCAACCTTCCTCTTCCCATTTCCTTTTTTAAAAAATACATTCTATTCTTCTAAGCCAATATAAGATTAGATATCCCAATTAATAGGTATTATTGTAAGGAAATGCTCATTTTCTGTCGGAAAAAATAAGGCTCTGTCCTCAACCTGTCACTTGTGGGTTCACACAGAGCGCTAAACCATAAGCCAGGATTTAGAAACCACAGTGGCTGGTCACACAGTATGCTAAAATTAAACTAAACAGCCACCTTTTATGACCATAGTGGCCTATTGTGATATATGAAGCAGGTTGCTGTTACCATTACCAGGCTATGTCACTGCAAGAATTCACATATTGTATTAAACCATGAGGTAGGCCATTTGGTTTTCGCACAGTGTGGTGTGTTAAGCCTACTATTATGGTTTGTAAATCATTGCTCATGGCTTAATATAATGTAAGAATCTAGTCAACTGTGTCTTATCCAACAAACCATAATCAACCAAACCAGGGCTTAGTGTCATGTATTCAACCATCAAAATCTACTACAATATCACTATGCTCCTATCCAGCATAATAAGGTAATTACTTTTCCAGCCCTAATTACAACAGACGAGATGGTATTAAGTCAGGAAAAGCATAATTAGTAATTTGTGGTAATGAGCATTAACTGAGGTGGTGGGGAGGCAAAGTTTCAGCTAATCATTAAAGTGACAAATGAAATGCTTCAATTTCCATGTGTAATTTTTTTACTTTAGGATTCTTGAAATACATAACTTTTGCTGTATGCTGCAAGTTAACTTAATAATAGGCAAGCCTTCTGAAGTTTTTTCTTCTTCTCAAGACCTTGAATCAGGATAAGAACAACACTGACTTTTTTAATGAAACAATTAACAAAACTGCACTTTTTTGAACACGTAAACAAATACTTCTGCACAGTCAATGTGATTTTAAAAAAGCAAACTCATACTGTTCACACCAAAATGATTTGCCACATGGCTGCTGTTCAAAAAACATTATTCCATTTGGTTCCTAAAATTACCTTCCTAGTTCTTTGACTCCAGTTAGACCCTTTACTATAAGGTAATCATAAGCAGCTGCCTCTGTAACAATTTATGGTTACACTGAGCGAGCCAGCCAAAAAGAGGTCAGGTAGTTTATCCCAGGTCAGGTCACAAATAGCAATTTCTTTGGGTTTTAACATGCATATCATTTCTCTGGCATTTTGAATGAAACTGCATTCAGTGTATTAGTCTTCCCCTGGAAACAATGCCACTCCTCCTGTCTTGCTTTCTTAATCTGTAACACTTAATCTGCCATATTTATACATTTATTATGCATTGCCATAACAATAATGGTTGTATGTTGGTGTGCATTAACAAGCCATAATTACATCAGAACCATAATGTGGATGTCATGATATAACAACTCAAAAGACACAATTTAGTAGTTCCATCTAATAAGGAAATTATGTCATTTGCATCACAAAACATGAGTGGTTATTTGCCTTATCTACCTGTTATGATGAAAATGGCTTGTTCCTTAGATAGGTTGGGGAAGAATGTGCAAATGTCTATGAATAAATAGCTGTGGAAGTAAGCAATATTATTCTTACCTAA